CCTCTCAGGGCCAGAGCCAGGGTCAGGCAGATAGTGGTCGCGGGTCGGAGACAGATGTATGTGAAGTCTCTTCCATAGATCCAGCTGACCTCCAGGGGGGCAGCCAGTTGGCTCTGGAGGACCTGGAAGGCTCGAGCTGGGCCACAGCTGTGGCTCTGGCCTGGCTGGAGCACCGCTGTGCCGGGTTCTTCATGGAGTGGGAGCTGGTGGCAGCAAAAGCAGACTTCTGGCTGCGCTGCCAGGATCTGCCCGAGGGAGTGGACCTGGCGGGGCTGAAGGGGGCCGCCAGACAGCTGTTCCTGCTGCTGCGCCACTGGGACGAGAACATCAAGCTCAACATGCTGTGTTACAACCCCAATAACATGTGAGGCGATGACGAGGAAACTGAGCCAGATCTACTGATTATCATAATCACTTGTTACCAATGATAGTGACTCCTGAGAAGCAATGCCTTTTAATGGAAGAGTACATCCTGTATTTCATCTGCAGGATAAACTAATGCCATAACCTAGTGCCAAGTTTATTCTAATAGTAAGTTGAACATGAAATATTTTACAGGTGTAAAACTTTATATTTATGTAAGAATATCCTTAAATGACATAGACCAAGTGGCCTTTTTTCATCATAAATATATATATTGCTTTATGCAAACACAAAAATGCCTTTACCATCTGACTAGGATTTTTCTAGTCTCTATGTCTTCAGTTAATTTGCTAAATGTATAATCGCAGTCAGTCAGTGTTTATTTTGATTACAAGGATAAGTCTTTGATACACTTATTAAAACTTACTTTAAGTAACGAAATCATTAATTTATTTAATTCAACCATTTGTTGTAATGTTGTAACATACATACAAAATAAATAAAAACTACAATGTTAAGTGGCATCTCTGTTTAATATGAAATGTCACACTCTTGCTCAGTCTACTGCCATTTTATTCACATTAAAACAACCTATGTGCTTTTGAGTGCAGCAGTGAACCATTACAACAGAAGATGAATCCATTACATCACCAATCTGACAGACAAAGAGCCATGATTGTCTTAAAGCTTGTATATCTATGGAAACAAAATGTGGCCTTGTGGTGAGGAAAAAAAACTCTTGCCCTGTATTCAATTAAATTAAAGTTTTGTTGCGATATTCAAGTTCTGTATCATATTACTTTTATATAAAATGACACACAACTTAAATATGAATCTACTGCATTCTTATACCACGTACAAGAGCATTAGAAAACCAGATTAAAGATTGGGCCATGTGTAGTTTTAACATCATTTGTAGAAATAAAGCCGATGTAACAAATTCTCTCAAAACATTCAAAATGTCCTCCTCAAATTCGACTCCACTATTCCTAAAATGTGTCTGAAAATTAAACCTGAGATCCATATTTTCTTTCTCTTTTCATCTCTTCAACTGCAAGGAACTACTTCATCATGTAGGTGTCTGTGTGCACTCACACTTTAGCTTTGAGCTGTGAGCTGAGACGAGAAGCATTTCACTTAAAAAAACAGTCTGTCACAGTGACCTCCCTCTGCACCGGTGTTGTGAGGACCAAAGAGAGGAGAGGAGCTGATTGGACCATGTACGACATCCGGTCCGATCAGCCCGCAGCTCACTGGCCTTTGTCCTTCTCGGGTGTTGGTTCTTCTGTTTCTGCCGGTGGGGCTGAGGGCAGCGGAGGGGCCAGCCACAGACACAGGAGGATGATGAGGTGACAGACGTGGAGGGCGGCGGAGCTGCCGATAGTAGAGGGGTAGGTGTTCCAGGAAAGCTCAATCAGACCCAGGATCAGTACCCTGAGGAGGAAAACAATATGGCATTAATGTATGAGTGACCGCAACACAAATATATATAAGATATAAAATATTAAAATAGTATTCATAATTATTGTGCAAGAAGAAACAGAGTAGCAGCAGTGAGGTGTGGTCTGATTTGCTTTAGACCGGGCAGCATGATTTATTTTATTGTGGTATGATTTGTGATATTAGAGGATTGACCATTTTTGAAAACATTATCAGTTCAATTAAAAATATATTAAAATGGATTTATACGAAACAAGGATTTCACACAACAGTTTGTAGGCCTGGACGTTACCAAAATACTTAATGAGCAATGATACTTTCACATATTTTGCCTTTACCAAATATTATACTTACAGTGATTTGGTCCAGATTGCATTTTCGATAAAATTCCAATAATATAAGCCGCATTAGTTTAGACTCCCTTACCTGAGCAGGTGGGCCAGCTTCTTGACTCCTCCGCTCCAGAGCAGGAAGGGCAGCGTGTGGAAGTACCAGACGTAAAACTGGTAGTGCAACGAACGGCTGAAGCACATGCCAATGAAGTTAGATGTGAACAGAATCAGAACCATCTGTGATCATCTGTCAAGGTTTCACACAGCAGCTGTTGTATACTAGGAACATCATTTATTTACTCTCTCACCGATATATTGTAGACATTTTACCAAATCAATTCATTGACATCTACTAGGAGAAATTAAAAGGTTTCCTGACAAAACCTAATGTATCCTTTGAGGATAAATATTCTACAGATAGAAGCTAAACCAAATGTGAAAAAAGGATATGATCAACAGTGGTTTTCTGAGCGGGGGCTTTCCTCTTGCTGGGATCCTTGAGGAGATCGAAGATGCTTTCTCCTGGCCTGGTTAGAAAAAAGAAATATAAATATATATATATATATATATTTACACTTGAAATACAATTGTGTTAATTTCACTCCCTGGGATCAACTCTTGCTACGTAGGGGAGAGAAAAACTGGCACGACTTTACCACTGATTTATTCAAGTTCATATCTATAATGCCAACAGTAACCTCTGTCTCACCTCTTCCAACGACGGAGAGCGAAGAGCAGCAGGGCGAGCAGGTGGGAAGCCAGCAGGATTAGGTGGAAGTACCGATCCAAGAAGAGCCATTCTGGCAGGAAGCGCCAGTTGACCGTCCATTTGAACATAAACTGACGGCCAAGATCAAACGCCTGGCTCATATAACCCACAGGATTCTCCAGGAGGAAAGGCAGACCCAGCAAAAGCTGCAGACAGATTAATTTATAAATGATGCTCGGCGATGGTGGACAACATAAAAAAAAAACATTTTAGTGTGCTGATAAAGCTTGCCTGGTTTTAAGGATATCTTACCTGGATGCCTGCACAGAGAGAAAGTTTGGGAATTGTCCTGATTAGGCCAAACTCAGATATGAGGAGGAAAAGTAGTCCCGGAGCAAAAAGGAGCACATTCATTTTCACAGACACTGCTAAACTGTCAGAAAGAGAGAAAGATGAAGTTGTAATTTCATAATGTAAAAAAAACACAATCTGATATAAGTTTCACAAAGATATGACACTTCATCCCGAGAAAGCCAAACACATAAGAGTTGCATTGTGCTGTGAAGCAGTGGACACTTGCCTGTAAAGGCCGCAACCCAGAGTCCAGTGCCCATCCATGAAGAGGTTGATAGCTCCAAACAGCAGCATCATGGCCACAGGATCATTAAAGAGACGCAGCACAAAGATGGAGTGGATCCGATAAGAAGCACAGCACACAAAGAAGAACACGTAGGGAGGAACCTGGGGAAATTCCAAGAAAAGAAAATACCATGTCTTTAAGGCAAAAAATTACATCAGAGGCATTTTAGAAGGAAACTATTTGGAAACAGAATACATAAGTACAGAGTATACAATACAACTCATACAATATAAACGGCCTATTTAGCAAACACAGTACAGTTCAGTGGTGTATCGCAGACAATGTTATCATGCCACATGTTATCATGCCACATTGTACCTGAGGATGTTGTCACAGACTGACCTTCTTAGTGCGGTGGTAGATCCTGAAGACCAGCAGCAGTGTGATGAGGTAGAAAGCAGCAAAAAGGTACTGCGCAAGGCGGATGTTCACACCATGGCTTGTGATGTAGTAGAGAACCGTAAAGATGTAGACAAAGCCAGCCGGGTACCTGCAACAACAAGGTGCTAAGTTATACTGCACTAACACTAACTACAAGTTGGAGAACTCTCCATAATTAAAAACATTTAAACTCACACCAAGGGGCCGGTGTCTCCTTTAAGCTCGGTGTAGTCGTAGGTACCATTGATGACTCCCTCCACCTCATCCATGTAGGCTTTCCAGTCTATCTCAGTGTCTGTGGTAAATAGAATACATCAGTGATCATAACGGATGGGGAAAGTTGCCGTTAGTGCTGTGCTGTGCTTATTTGTATATTTATTTGCATGTACATTTCTAGAATAAACATTTTTTGATTAATACAAAAAACAATAGTAAGATAACATGGTGATTTAATTTATGTTATGACAGTTCAGCATGAGAATCTTACAGCATTACGTTAGATTAAGAAGTAAGCTACATTTGTCAATAAAATCAATGACGTGGGGTACATACTAATGCTTGGACTTTATGTGTAACGGTATAAGTAGCGTTACACATTTAAATTAAGTTAAGAGTATTGTCATTAACAATAGTTTGCTGCATACAATGTTAGCAAGAAGTTGCGGGAAATAATGAACGATATTTAACACTCGAGCAGACAGACAGTTGCATGTGGTCATGCAAGGGCAGTAAATTCCCTTTGACAGGTGGTAGTCGAAGTTAGTAGGTTTGCTAATGCTAGCTACTTAGCGTTTACATACGTTAAGCAACATAACAAAGCACCAGAGCATGCTAACTAGCCACACAGAGCAGCTACTTACATGCTACTTTCTGTATGACCCACGCATTGAAACCGATCTCTAGAAACCACAAAACTGAAACGACCAGTAGAGTGTATTCCGTCTTGAACAGGACCAAATGTTTGTCCTGCCATAGTGTGTAGAGTTTCCCCCACAGGGGGGACGGGGAACCGGGAGACTTTCTTCGCACACCTCCTGCCATCTCGGCGGTGTAGCGAGTAGCTCACTAGCGAAGGAGAGACCGGAGAGACGTGGAGAGACGTCGCAATGTATACGTCATCACGCAGCGTTCATCACATAAAGTCACGTGACGTGGACACATAGCTCAGCCGAAAATGTCAAGCTAGGACTTCAATTTTCTGACAGGTAAAAACAACTGATATTATAATAAGTCGTACTTGACAATTAAGAAATATATACCTTTAGGCATTTTATATTTGTGAACATATAGTAAGCTAACGATACGGTTGTTTAAACAACGTTTAGAGGTCAAAACTGCTGCCTTATAGCTAACTTTAGCTTACCATTATTACAAAGATAATAATCCCACTGAAATACGTTATGTAACAAGTGGCGTGTTACTGTTGACAGCTAGTTAAAGTTTGAGTCATATTGATGGTGTTAGCTGTAACAGAATTAAAGAGAAGTTAATGGGTCTTAATTTCCTTTACAAGCAATATGAACCGAAACAAACTGGCCTCGTTTAAAGAAACCAGGTTGTCTTAAAACAACATTGTGTTAATGTATTTCCAGAAACTTTAAAAATACTCTATACATCTGAATTAGTCAGATTTTGAATGTAAACAGCTGAAGTTGAAACATAAACGAGGTTTACCCAAGTTCTATGATCATCAACTGAGGAGACTTTACTTCACGTTGTCATTTTCTTCATAGTAACATGACATTTTTTGTCATCACTGATATACAGGAAACAAAAGAGATTATATTTGATCTTCTTAAATATCATGTATTCCTGCAGGTCTGCAGTGAGGAGACTCAGAGGGAATGGAGGAGTTTCCTGTGAAGGTCTCAGAGGCAGTGTGTCTCGGGGCCAGCCTGGCCCTCTCAGGCATCTGCTACTGTCTCTACAAGAAGAGCCGGACAACGCTAGATAAACTCGAAGTTAGTTGTGGTCCATCTGTGATTGACATAACCTTTCATATATTGTTTTGTTTTGATAATGCATTTGTAGTCTTCATGCTGTCAAAGCCTTTAAAATAATTGGGATTAGTTCCAAAACCATGTAAAAAAAGTCAGCTTTCACACAGATAGATAGATAGATAGATAGATAGATAGATGGATCGATCCTATTTAGTGGAGGCCAATCTTCTTGCCTTCTTCTTATACTTTTTATGTTATTGGGCTTGTGACTGAGAACATGTCTACTTGCAACCTACAAAGTTCCAAATAACTTCAGTAGTAAGAAGAAGGAAGTAAACCTTGCATACATTGAAAAGAAAACGCAAAGGCTGGAGACAAAGTATCATTTTGTGTGGGGGAAACAGTTTTGTTTCCTTCTTTCCCATCTTGTAAACCATTAGGTGATGGTCATGGCTTCTACTGCTTTTTTTTTTTTTAAACCTTCAAGTTTCCTTCCTAAGTGTTTGTGTCTCATGTTGTCAGGGTGCTCCTCACTTCACTATAGACGGAAAACTCAAAGACATTCTGAAAGTTACTCCAGGAGCATGTCTACAGTATGCTGTCATCGAAGGTAAACATGAGTTGATTCTGACACTGACAAGAGCTGAACATTTGAAAACATATCGTATACTCTAACATGTGTGTATATAAATCGTAGGTGCTGTGCAACCGGTAGGCGAGCCTCTGACCAGCTCCTTCCAAAAAGAAAAGCTTGGAGTGTTGCAGAAGATCTTGCTGAGAGAACACAGGCTTCTGTGGAACAGCCTTTCACGCACTTGGTGAGACATCCATCAATACAATATTAGCAGCATTATGATTCCATACATTTTTTTGGCATCATCACTCCTCTATTTTATAGTGGACAGTTTAGATGTTTGACATGCAACAAAGGTTTGTGGTTGGAATACAACCAGGCACATTCCTCTGAGGTGGTATGTGCCTTAAATAGTACGTCCACTCCCAATTTAGGAAGGAGGAAAAACATATCTGCACTGGCCTCTGCTTTGAAAGGTTTGCGTTTCTGGAACCCAGCTGTGAAGAGTGGTTCTATAACGTCATGGTACATCACTGCTGTACATGGTGTGGGAAAATGTTCTATTAGTTGTCAGGGCAAGCCCGATTTTAAGCTGGGGTTAAGTTACTTTTAACCACGTGGCTTTTACAGTAGGACCCAAACCTGATTGCTGCCTCTGACATCAGCTACACAAGATAGATGAGACATCTTGGCCCCTGATTGAAAGCCTGTGGGTTTGGTTGAGGGCTATTACGAGCTATTCTTATTATTATATGTACAGCACTTTGGCTCGACCAAAAATCGTTTTAAAAATGTGCTATATAAATAAAACTTGATTTGATTTGATTTGATTATTCATACTGCATCTATATATTCTTTGCCTTTTCTGGCAAGTTCGTGTTATTAACCAGCAAGAATTTCAGAAATATCACAGGTTCACACTTGTAAGAGCATCTTAGGTGATGATGATGTAAATATTAGAAAGATTTAATTATAGTAAGTTCGACATGGCTTTAGACCAGGGGTGTCGAAACTACGGCCCATATTGAATCAGCCCTCAGCAAATTCAAAAAGTATAATGGAATATGGCCCACAAATTAAACTTGTGCTTGTCTTATATTGTACTTTTTCAATATATACGTACAAATATATTAAACAGTATTCAAGTGTTAGTAAGCACAGTTTTTAAAGTTGAAAACATTTTCTAACAAATTTAAGTTGAAAAGAAAAAAGCCCAATAACTTATTTACATATCAAGCTTGAAATCTACCCTTCATATTTCCTCTTTTTATAAGCAATCTGAGGCTTCTGCTTTAAGGGATGAGCTGCTAACAACATAAATGAAACCCTCTGGAGAGCTGTGATGTAGGCTGTTTTTTTTCTTAAAGCATTTTCAAGTATCAAGAATAATTTACCCACATTTGATTGATTTTGCTAATTGCTAACAGGCAATTAACTTCACCTCGAGTGAGTGGCCCAGCCATTCGTATATTTTTCTGTATGTGGCCCTCGGTGAAAAAAGTTTGGACACTCCTGCTTTAGACCCTTCACTGCTTTCAAATTCCACAAAGCAGCTTTCAATTAGCCCAATATCAGAATATTTAGTGATGTCACTTCAGATGTATTTGTTTATTTATGTAAACTTTAATCAAAATGCAACCCAAAATTGAAGTGCATCATGTTAACAATATTTTGTCTTGATTCTCATGTGTATTGACATAAAATATCTGTTATTCTTCGCCTGTTGCAGGACGGACAGTGAGCGGGTCTTGCACCAAAGAATGACTGCAGTGCCCTTTGTATTAGTGGGATCAGATGATACGGCCGTCCGAGTGCTGTGCCCTCTGCAGGCCTCCGGTGTGCACATGGAGACCACCCACGAGAAGTTTCACCAGGTTAACTACGGCTTCAGTGACATCATAGGACAATACCTCAGCGGGGAGAAGCTTAAAGGGCAGCTGGAGACAGAAGAAATGCTCAAAGTAAGTCAAATACCATGGTGAACTTCTATTACTCAATAGTAAAGTGATATCACTGTCACCCACACATAGTAACCAGGACTGTACATACATAACAACTGCACTGTTTTTACAAGACTTGAACCTGCACTCACATCTGAACACTTATGTAAATATATTTAACATGTTCATACAAATGCTCAACTTGTGATATCTTGTTTCAATAGTTACTTTATCACTTTATTTTTGCTGTATTATTATTTTAACTTTTATTCTATTTTATTTTTACCTTGTGAATCCTGTTTTTCTTTCTGACACTGTTGCTGCTATAAACGCCTTAATTTCCCCACGGGGATAAATAAAGTTCCATCCTATTTTATCTTTTCTTTTATTCACTTCACAAAGTATATTAATACAACTGATTTAACTGATCTTCGTCTCACAAATGTTTTCCAGGTGGGCGCAACTCTAACTGGTGTGGGCGAGTTGATACTGGACACTGACGGCACCGTGAATCTCAGACCCCCTTCTAACGGCTCAGAGTATTTCTTGAGCATTACAGACTTTGACACCCTGCTGGGGGAGCAGGAGAGCACAGCTGGTTGGTGGAAGGGGCTCGCCATCGCCTCTGCTGTGGCGGGGGCAGGGGTGCTACTCTGGTTGGGCCGACGCTACTATATTCAACTCAAAGTACACTGGGAGAGGGAGAAGGAGAGGAGGGATTTTGACAGACTGCGGGCTGAAAACCCAAGAGCTCATGCTCCAGTAGCCGGACACGAGGCCATCGAAGAGGAGCACTTAGAGAACGCCTGTGTGATCTGCCTTACTCAGCCACGTAACTGTATTCTGTTGGAGTGTGGGCACGTGTGCTGCTGCTACAGCTGCTACCAGGCTCTCCCCCAGCCCCGCTGCCCTATTTGTAGACAGAGCATCAGCAGGGTGGTGCCTCTCTACCATGTTTGAGGCCACTGTGATCACATGACCTCAGTGGAGCTTCAGCAACACACAAACTGTCAGCTTAACTCCTTTAAGTGCTGCACTCACACCTAAAAAAGAGCTACGCTTTGATATTCATATTACTGTAAAGAATAATGTTATGATGGTATTGTATGTAATAATAAAGGTGATTTGTTACGACTTTCAGTTAGGTATTTTATCTTTAATTAAGAAAAAATGTGATGGGGGGGGGTGGGTGTAAATGTGTGAACAATAGATGTTTATTTTCCTACATAATTGTTCTGTGCCTTATTCTGGTAATTTATATGGTGGCTGTTGTCTAAAGAGCGATTTAACTGTATTTGTCTGGATGACTTGAGTCTGCTCAGAAGAAGTAAGCTTGTGTTTCAACCACTTTCTGTCACATTTGAGTCATAGAAAGTTACATATATTTAGTGCCAAGACGAAGCTAATGACTTAATGACAGGAAATGTGTAAAATGGTGGCTTTTGAAACATTTAATAAAGAATCACTCTGTACAATTTGTGTAGCATGTCTTCCTTACTGTCAGTATCACCATTTGTAAAAATTGCGGATCCCATTTTGTTTTAGGAATGTTTTTAAACAACTTAGTTCATCCTTATGTACAGGTCCATGCGACCATAAAGTTCTGCATTAAGCTCAGTCTGTATAATGATCTTATATAACTCAATGTTCGGCGTCTCTTAATGATCCGCTGAGCTGCAGCTGTTACATCAAACGTCTGCTCTTCTTAAACATTAGGAAAGTAGTTCATATCTCAATAGATACACGTGTTCCACAGGACTTGATGAATTCATGATGGGTCTTATTATTTCTCCATGAGGCACACATGCTTGTTGACAGCACCTGGTGCCTGAAAAGACTTGGGTGTAGTGAGTCATCAAGCTTACTATTTCTGTCATCTCTAAAAAGCATTACGAGGATTTGGAGCATGGCGGATTGATGAAAAGCCACCTTTTGTTTCTCTTTTAGAACAGAAAGGGAACAACTAACAGTCGTGTGCTTGTGGTTGTATTGTGAGGTAAAGAGTGTGGCTTAAGGCCTGAGTGGGCGTGAAAAAAGGAGCAGGTGGGAGACACAGGATCTCATAAATCTTCCCCAGCGGTCAGAAGGGTTCACTTTGACAAATTCTTCATGAGCTCTCTCAGCAGAACAGCAGCTGTGGCTCTGGGGGAGCAGACTATTACTGTAGCACCCGCAGACCTCTGAGGGCATGGGGGAGCAGTGTCATTTGATTGGATCAGTCCAGTTCAATTAATAAATACAAAAAGATAAAAGTATTTTACAGCAAACAATAATGGGAATAGTTTCACATGGGTCTTTGGAGAGGGTAAATACAATGGGAAATACTGTAATGTTTGCACTGTTCATATAGAGATACAAGTTCTAAAAATATGAACGATTTTTTTAACTGTCTTTATCACAACTACTCCAGGCTTAGTGGATTTCAGTTTATGTAAATGGTGATAAGAGATTGGTGCCTCTACCACTAGATGTCCATCTTTCTTCACTTGAGTTAGTGAGACACTCTGTGCTGGCTGACAGTGAGGGAAGACACTGGCTTCAGTGGATGAATTCGAAGTCACATGCAATTAATGTAGGCCATGCTATCCTGTTTAATCTATTCTGATAGCTGACAAACAATTATTTAATAATTAACAATGATATGATTATTCTCTAATGGTTTCTGCTTCACGATGTGTTTATATATACAGTCTATGGTGTAGACCCATATTTGTGGTGATGAGGCTGTAGACACTAGTAGTTAAGTAAGTTAAAACTTTGCCCGTTTTAAATAGAGAGATGTAATGGCAGCGTTAGCGTGGATAGCTATTATCATTACTTTTATTATTGCTAAGTGTATGGAGTTCTCAGGAATGGAAATGTCAGTCCGTTGGTCCACACTGAATTGTAATTTGTACAGATGTTCCTGGTTATGACAGGATGACTCTTATTGACTTCAGTCAGCTGCTGACTTTTCCTTTCAAGCCATAATAAGGTTGGCATTTTCGCCTTTGGTGAAATGTCAACTATTGTATGCATAGCTGAGCATCAAAAACAACTCTTAGTTTGCCTGGCTTCTTGGGGTGGTACACCCTGTGATGAGGAATGTACCGAACACTCTCTCCTTCATGGCTCTGCATCACCTTTGCTGATTATTTCTTGCATGAAGACTGTATAATGACCACTGCCCTTGAAAGGGACAAGCATCTCGTGGTGTCCATCTTTTTTCTGCCTTACAGTATGTTGTCTCTAAGGAGTTGTATGAAGCAAACATCACCTTGAGACACATAGCACTTTTTGTTGAAGTTTGATTCCAGGACTTTCAGCACATCCCTGGCTGTTGGCAATGGCATCTCTTTCACAGGCCTGGTTAACTCGATGCACAAAGCTCTGATTTGCCCTTTCTTCTTTTTTTTTTAAATATATATTTTATTGAGCATTAAAAGTACAAAATATACAATTAGAGAATAAGAAAGGGACAGAAACATAATGCTCACTTTCAGTTTTTCTTGATTTTCCCTTTCTATCCAAGAGGGGATTGGCTGAGCCTATGAGGCTCCCTCCGAGCACGGTCCTTTGTGCGAAAGGTTCATTTTCACAGCCTGTGAGCAGCTAAATACCTTACCATCACATTAACTACTGCCAGCAGGAGGAGACAAAAAGCTAAATGCTAATGTTGTCCAAATGAGGACAAAACAATATATTTAGCAAGATCTAGTTTTTCGTCAAGTCATACACCAGCAGTTATATGCAGTACTCAACAAACAATGAAGGTTAAATTGAAAATGGCATGGCTCCAAATCTTTGAAATCTTGACACGTGACCTTATGTGCTTGTGCTCGTGTCAGGGAGTAGTGGTGCAGCAGGGTGTTTCTTGACTTTGGCATTAGCAGGCACTCAGCAGACAGCAGGAGGAGAGGTAGAGGTGCGGTATCTCAGGAGAGAGAGCCATCACAGCGTGCCACAGTTCCTGATGCCAATTACCGCTGTCACCCATCTGCTTTGGGCATGCAGTGAAACGTGGGATAAGTGACCTACTTTGTGACAGTTGTGTGACGGCAGTGCTTCTCCTCTCATCAACAAACCAAGCGCTCCCCCCCTGAGGAAAGGCTGACAGTGATAGTATCACAGGCAACCACACACTGGTCAGAGATATAGATTTTCTTTTTGTTTGGCCGTTCGCTTTGAGCAAATTGCATGGCTCTAAGAGTGCTGATGCACCTAGCCCAGGGATTTGAATCCAACCAGACTGTAGATAACATTGAGGTGGTAAGGTAATCAGGTAAGGGCATATTGAAATCTATTCCATTCTTTTACCCTTTAGAAACAAAAAGTAAATAGACACAGATCCCAAAATGAGAAACTGAGAGGTATGCTTCTTTACTTATCTCTTCTCTCACAGTATTTAGCCATCCAGACATTTTTGTTTTAAATGTATCTGCTCAGGTTCTAAAATATGAATCACTGAGATTTCTTCTTCGGGAGTAAATGTGTGAGCTGTAAGACCAAAACAATGAGACTAAAAACTTTAAAATGCTCCATGGAGATGAGGATACTTACAGTCGGTTCAGAATTCTGTCGGTTTGACAATAGTATCAACATATGTTACTTTACATGTTGACTTGATCCATTGTTGTCATCAAAATACTGAAAGATGCATTTTAACTTAAGACTAAACAAAAATGATTATTTTATAATATTGCAGACAAGAGGTAGCACATGGACATTGTTGTGTTTTAATATGTATATCTATCGGTGCAAGTATTCAGGTTAAAATACTATATTAGTTACTCTGTCTAAGTTAACATATTGGCATTTAAAGGGGAAACTACATATTATGTTAAATGGCCTATCAGCATTGTTTTAATCATTATGTTTTTGGTTAATTGTAATTGAAGAATAAACATGTAATCATTTGTTTTCCTTTTGTGGCTGATCGAGGTGAAACACATTTTAAATGCTGTAAAAACTTTTGGGTGGTTTGTGGTAAACAAATAGTTGGTGGTCAAATATCTTATAACCAGATCAGTGTTTTGAGTATACAACCACAGGTTTTACCAACATGGTACTAAACAATATAATTTCACCTTTCCTGATCCCAGCGTTGGCCTCCTCTGTGACGGAGGTGCAGCAGGCAGTGCGTAGTAGAAGTATTTTAAACATGCTGCAGAATAAGTCTGTGAGCATTTGTACCTCAGCTGTGTGGTCACTGATTCAAAGGCAGGAGCTCTGCCAACGTCCCCAGTATCTAGAGAGCAATATGCTGAAAAACAAACAACATTCATCTTGATGACGATGAGAGCAGATATACAAGGTACTGTTATTCACCCCATGAATACAGATGGTGGTGCCTCACTTTCTTTTGGTGCTCTTACTTACAGTTTTAGCTTATCCAAAACACACACACACACAACCTAAAAGCAAGTCGTTGATTGTGGCTCTAAGCTCTACGCTTGTTATTGGGTTTTTTCCTCAGCGAGTGTAGTGTTCCTCAAGGAGGAACATAGTGTGTTTAACACTGTGCGAGTGTGTGTGTGTGTGTGTGTGTGTGTGTGTGTGTGAGTTCAGCTGGGCCTGGCCTGCTCGAGGGGAGGGGAGGGAAGGGAGAGGGTAAGTGACTCAGCATAGTGATTCATTTATAAGTGGAGGCAGTGCTTCAAGAGCACACACACACACACACACACACACACACACACACACACACACACACACACACACACACACACACACACACACACACACACACACACACACACACACACACACACACACACACACACACACACACACACACACACACACACACACACACACACACACACACACACACTCTCTCTAAGGGTGGGTGCCCTTGTCAGAGATGATGGGACTGATTGAGTGAGCCTGGTCATTAAGGACTGCTGCCTGCTAAAGGGTTGGCTGGGATGGAGAAAGAAAAACAAGGGGACGACGGAGGAGGAGGAGGACTCACAGCATGCGGACTGAGAAAGATCAATTGAACTTAACAGAGGCGGACCAAAAGAGAAGTGGTGGTACTTAAGCCCACTGGAGTTCAGCATACGAGGCGGGGCATTATAAGGAAAGGGGTAAGGCGTTAAATCAGTGTAACACATGCATAAGTATATATCCCTAAACACTGCACACAAAGCAGCCCCTGGTGC